TCAAAACAAGTGTAAGTCTTATTACTGGTTTTATCATTATCATCATCATTATCACTATTATTAAAATTATCATTATTAATTGTCATAATCATTCTGATTATCACTGTCATCACAATCGCACACTGGAATTCTCTCTCCATCTATCTATCTTTTCCTCTCCCTCCCTCCCTCCCCCCCTCCCTCCCTCCTCCTCCTTCGCATCCTCCCTCCCACCTTCCCACCCTCCCTCCTTCCCCTTCCCACCCTCCCACCCTCCTACCCTCCCCTCCCCTTCCCTCCTTTTTCCTTCTGTCCCCCCCTCTTTTTCCGCCAAAAGGACGTTACAAGAGGACACCGCGATTCATCCTGGCTATAACGAAATCCCCCTTTCGCCCAACCTCTTTGATGGCGCTCATGTGTTCTCGTTTGGCTTAACCCCCTCTCCCACCGCGCGGACGGAGCCTCTCGCGGGGAAATATTGATGCTGCTGAGGATGCGAAAGCTCGATGCGTCACCCACGACCCGACTTCGAGGGATAATGAAGAGGTTTGTCTGTCTGCTTGTCCGGTTGTTTTCTGTCTGTCTGTTGTCCGGGTTGGTTTTCTGTTTGTCTGTCTGGCTATAGGTCTATGCTGTTTGGGTGTCTGTGTGTCTTTGTGTGGATTTATTAGTTCGTTTATCTGTCTATATTTATCTGTGTATCGATCTATCTACTTATCTTTCCGTCTATCTACTTGTTCCATCTATCTTATCCACCAGTATACCTGCTTATCCGTCTGTGTATCTATAATCTCATATACATATATATATATATAATATATATATATATATATATATATATATATATATATTATATATATATATATATATATATATATATATATATATATTATATATATATATATATATATGTTGTGTGTGTGTGTGTGTGTGTGTGTGTGTGTGTGTGTGTGTGTGTGTGTGTGTGTGTGGTGTGTGTGCATGTGTGTGTGTTGTGTGTGTATGAAAATAGATAAACAAATAAGTAAATTAATACGTATATATATATATTATATATATATATATATATATATATATATATATATATATATATATATATATATAAATAT